CGTAAACATGTTGTGCTGGGCGAGGGCATGGGACTGCCACCAACACCACCACCCCCCCGCCCCACGGGGTAGGGAGCGACATCCTCCCACCCCAGCCGTGAAACCCTTGCCCACGCTGGGGGTCTCTCCCAGGCAAGGGTTTGCTGGCCGGCGGGTGTTTATGGGATGGAGGGGGAGATGTTTACATCGCAAGCTGCCTTTGCTCCCCGCTTCCCTTTTGGGGTTGTTCGGTGGAGCTCAGTGGGTGAAAAGAGGAGCTGCTCGGATGGGGCGAGGGTCACCCTGTGCCACGGGGACCTCCACCCGTAAATGCCCTGGGCTTGTTTGCAGCCAGCTCTGGTGGCCAAAGTTTCTGGGAAATTTTGTAGGTAGCAAGCACATTTCCAAGAATTTGGAGCTATCAGAGCTGTCAGTGTCCCAGTTAAACAAACCCTCTCTGCAAACCGAGGGAAAAGGGCTGGACATGGATTTAGGTTCCCTGTGGCTTGACAGGTCCCCTATATGGGAGCTATTTTGGGTCTCTCCTGGACTGACTGGGTCTCAGCACCAGCTCGCGGCTACTTTTCCTTCAGCTGAGCTGTTAGATTCAGGTGACCATAGCTGAACTTGGTCTAAATATGGGATCCTCAGCTAATTTGTATGGGTCAAAACCAGCATTTGTTTCAGTGTTGAAACCTTTGCTCTCTACATTAGGGTGCAGGAACTGGGGTTGTGGGCGAAGGCAGGTTCTGTTGTCATGCATGGTGGCTCTGCCTTGCCTGAGCAATCGGAGGAGGTGAAAACCACCTGAATTTCACTTCGGTTCTGGACAGCCTCGGGGCATTAACACACACTTGTGGCTGCTGCAAGGTGGTAAAGAATGAGCAGGGTTGTCCCCGGAGGGAGGGTGGGGACCCAACTCTTGAGACAATAAATCAAGGTGAGGCCTTAGCCAGCACTTCCACCTCCTCCTGGCTGAGGATCCAGCTCTCCCTGGCCACTTCCCCACCCCTCCCCCCCCATCCCCCAGCAAAACTCTGGCTGTGTCTTCAGTAGGGTGGCTGTGATGGCCAGGAGGGTCCACCTTCTTGGAGGGATAGCAATTTTGGTGCCATCCCCCTGAGGCTGGCACAGGGTGGCCCAGGATCCCGTCGCCCCGAGGCAGGGGGGTGGGTGGCGTGTGCTTGGCCTGGTACCTGCGTGTGGGCGCAGCTCCTTCTGCTTAGTGCCGACATCGCTCTCCCACCCCTTGGGTCCGAGCTGGGAGGCGCAGAGGGCTGAGCGGGAGCCGGGGATGGGACAGCACGGGAGCTGCCGGGGTGGAAAAATACTGAGCAGTGCCTGCAGTTTGCTGGGTGCCTTTTCCCACCCGAGCGCCTCCGAAAGTGGGTGCTTCCCACACCCGCGGTGGGGATGGGGGGGGTTTCTCCTCCCTTGTGGGACGGTGACTGATTCTCCATGCTGGAGCGAGGGTCTCCGCTAGCAAATCCAGGTGCTGGAGCCTGATAACCTGCTCCGAGGGGCAAAGCGGGGCATGGCACAGGGCACTGCCTGCTCCCCCCCGCCCCCGCACCAAGCCAGACCCTGAGCGCAGGGCTTTGGG